GGCGTATTTTTCATTATGATTCTACTTGTGATAGTCGGACATGACAACCTGTGCAGCCCATGTATTGATTCCATCCGATAGCTGCTATAATAACAAACAAAACGTCTGCCTGCTCTCCACAATGATCAATAACAGCGAACGGATGGTCAAAGTAAGGTACAAATAAACAGAATCACACGAAGCCTGGTTAGTGTTGCCTGACTTTATAAAGCGTGTTTTTTTTTTTACAAGTGTGTGGTTGCGTTCTAGTCACTTTGCTCAGCACTACTGCTGGTTACAACTTTTATTTGCCGTACTCGCCTTAACTGTTATCTCAGGTTAATCTCGCTCCCCTCCGACGTAAGCGGTTCTTGCTTCTACACGGACAACTTTTTGGTGCTCGAAACGAACCGGATTCCGGAGCTTAGAGGCTGCTCCGCTGCGGTGTGAACAGGAAAACCCGGTGCTTTTCAAGCACCAGCACCGAACCGGCCCCGAAACACCGTTGGTGTGAATGGGGTAAAAGAGGTGTCAATCATCAAAATCGACCGAGGGGGGCCAGAGATATGGAAAATGCACCTAAATGACCCCAGAAGCGGGTTCTCTTTTCTAAACCTCTCTAAAAAGGTCAAATTTCACTTGTTTTGCGTCCATATTGATACAGGGTACTTATTATATGTTATATTTTGGATTCCTAAAGCTTTTAGTCTACTATCCCATCAGTCACGGGTGGTTTTCCCCGCTGGAGGGGGCTCGGGGGCTCAAAAGGTTAACAGGTTAAAAGTATGGAGTAAAAGTAAACAGCATTTCTACGTAAGCCTATAATGTTGCGGAACATACATATATGTGTGTGGTCGTTCTAGTAGCTTTGCGGTGTTAGCTTTACTGTTTCTGTATCTAACTTCTGACACATCACAAGGATGACATTTCAGTGTCATTATAACAGCAGGTATATTGCCTTAAGTCAACTTGGGTGTGGAAGGATGTTCTAATGATCTGCTTTGACTGTGGCTTGGCACAGCCTTACTGTTCTCATTTGGATCACAGTGATGACTTTGTTACTCCCTCCAGGAATAGACATGTGGCCGAGGTCGATTAAAATACAGGGTTTATTTCCATGCATGACTAACCTAACGTGTGAGAACTGGGTTGAAAAACAGGAAAAATAGTAAACAATAAATATGTAATATTTGCATATGTATTTACTATCAATGCTGCCAAAGTATACAATAAATGACACACAGCTGACACATAGCATGTAGCATGTAGCACGTAGCACAATCTAACACATCATAGCATGTATACACACACTCATAACTTGCAGCTCAGACACACACAGCCTTGGTGCAACCAGCCTGGATTATATGAATGCATCGTTTCAGTGCCTTCATTCACTGGATACCGTCTACAAACCTCAAAACCTGGATGCACAACTGCAACCTACCTTGATGGTCTTCCCTGATCATGTGTAGACTGAAACACTGGCACAAACTAATATATGGCTACTCCTGGTGCTCTTCCTCCTTATCTAAGGATCTACGAAAACCGAAAATTCACTGGATCGCTGCTCCTGTGGCTTGGAGCCAGCTGCAAAATGGGCTGAATCTCAGAGAGCTGGTTTATTTAAACCGACTCAAAGCGACTCTCAATGACTTTGAAACAGGCCGCTGTGTCTGTAAATGCTTTGGCTGATCTTGTTGTATGATTGTGTTGCAGTGACGTGCGGTGAGGTTCATGGCTGGTGAGGCACTGACTCTTTCAGAGTCAGATTTACAAATATTATAGCCTATTTTGACCTTAATCGAAATATTCTGTTATTTTCAAAAGCTTTTTTAGTCTGATGCTATGATTAATTTTAAACAGACCGATCAACAAAAGGATCAAAATCTAAATATTGGATTGTTCTTTCTTAGTAAGATCCCATTTTCATTACAGTTGTGGTCTTACCTTGACTTGAAGATGAAGTCCATGCTATCCTTCTGGACAACAATCTCTATTACTGTTTTGTAAAAGTCCTCCTTATCTTCCTCTAGTTTCAAAAGTCTAGTTTGTTGTTTGCGGTAGAATAACAGTAGCAACAAGAACCTGTGGGCTCACGTGCGCCCCCTTCAGTGCGGCAGAGGTTATGGCTGCCTCTCTTGGTGCTTTTTTCATTGCCGTTGTACGATGAGACCAGCGAGCCTAAATATCATATACGTGAAATAAGTTATTTAGAGACTATGGATGGCGAGGATAAATGTAATAAAGGGATCTACAAACATTACATTGGTGACCTACAGTGAGATGGGAACAGGCATGCGCTTAGGGCCCGCTTTCCAGCCAGTTTCTGTGGGGTGACGCATTCTGAAGTGAGGCAGATCTCATCTGTGCCTCACCTCACCCCACAGTAAATGGCTTGAGCGCGCTCACAAAATAAGTGGCCGCGCTAAATTAGTGCCCGCGCTCCAGCAAGTTACTGTGGGCTTACGAGAGGCAGAGCACGTCCCTGCCTCACTTCTCATCGCTCCCGTAGCGGAGCTCGGCAAATTTGCTGATTTTGACTATAAAATGCGATTGGAATCATACAGAAATCACATTTACACAAGATCAGTGGAGACATTTTATTATTATTATTATTTAGTTTTTCTTTAATTGTTTTTCCGTTACATTGGAGTATGACAGGGGAGGCTCTGCCACTGACTGCACATCGCTGTTGTGTTGTGATTGTGTGGTTTAAATTGCCTGTAACTGTGCTGATACCTACTCCCTTGACAAATAGATTTGTAATCTCAATAAGAGCCTATCCTGGTCAAATAAATAAATACAATTAAAACAGGGATGATTTCCTCAAAACACTTAACACAATTCACATAACCACACTACAAGTGCAAAACACCTCATATATCCTGAAAAATAAAGCACTGAAATCAAAAATACACAAGCATTTATCAAAATCTAACTTTTGCACTTAATTGTACACACTTCATTCATATTATCAGATTTGTTTTCTACCCAACTACACACTCTTGTGCTCAATCAATAGCACGTTCATCTGTTGTGGACTTTGATCTGTACAGTATGTAGAGCATTCTTCAAAGACAGATTTTCTACAGAAGACTGTGCAGAAACACCATTTTATTAAGAAACCTTTTTATTTTTCTCCACTACTAATCAGCTCAATGTGAGTAAAACACATACAGCTAGAGTTGGGTGAACCATATTTGCCCTCTATCAAATACTGTAAATGGAAAAGAAAACTCAGAGGAAAACATTTACAGATATTCTTTTCTCCAATAAACTGACTTTCGGTTTGACCGCAGCACCTCATCGACATCAGACATGACATCTTCCCTTCTTGAGTGTCGTATCCAGCCCTGAACATGCCTGTTCCACTGCCTGCAGAAGAGGCATGCACCCTCGAGGCGAATGGTACACCTTCCATCTCCATGGAGTTGAGCTGGACTCTCTCTCTTTTCGTCAACCAATGGTTAATAAAACTAACATTGCCATGATTTCTTCACAAACACAAAAGAAGCAGGTATGTCTTTCAAAATAAAAGCCTAAAAAAGTCACTGTAACCAAATAGGGAGTTTATGATAATGCTTATATTTAAAAATAAAAAGCCTCAGAAAGTATGAATTCCAAATATCACCTTATATTCTGATCTACCACAGGTAGTAAACATGTCTCTTCACTCAGGTGTATTTCAACAGGCCCTGAACAATGCAGTCATTGAACCACTCTTAAAAATATAACAATCTATGGTCTGGACTAATGAGCAATTATAGGCCCATATCAAACCTTCCATCTCTAGTTGGAGAACCATGCAACATATTTGGGGGTTACAGATCCCTTTCTCATGTGCTGTCCCTTAGTTGGGTGACCTACCAGTCTGGGTCTGACTTTCAGCAACAGTTCTAAATCAGTCTGAATCTTATTTTAAGGACAGGAAACACTTTGTGTCCATAGATAACTACTCTTCTGACTGGTCAGATATGACATGCGGAGTTCCTCAAGGCTGCAACCTGGGACCTCTTCTTTTCAACATCTCCATGCTTCAACTGGCTGAGATAATAGGCGCTTTCACACCGGAGTACTTTTCCCCGTACTTTTCCAATTTAGTTCCGATAGTTCCTGGGATTTTGCGTTCACAAGCGGCTATTGAAAAACTACAACATTAGTTTCTGCATGCAGGTTACACACAAATCTATAAAACCATTTCACCAGGGGGCTATGGTCTAATTCACGCACTGAGTAAGTACATTGAACAAATCAATGACTGGATTTCTCAGATATTTCTTTAATTAAACACAGATAAAACTAAGATGATTGTTCTTAGAGCCAAAGTTAAAAACAACAGAAAAGGCCAGAAATCTAGTCATGGACTCGGACCTGAATTTCAACAGTCACATTAGGACAATTACAAAGTCAGCCTACTATCTCCTTAAGAATATATCTTAGATTAAAGGATTTTCTCAACAGGATTTTGATACTCTTGAAGGTTTTACTAAAAAATGTATTTAGGTGTCCTCACTAACACCAAGAAAGTGGATCACATGACTCCAGTTCTGAGGTCTTTACACTGTCTGTCAAATACATTCATTTCAAAATACTACAGCTGGTTTTTAAAGCACTTCTTCAATTAAATATGTTATTCTTTGATTTAATCAACTATTCACATCTTACACTGCTTTTAGATTTTTCCACCGGTCGTTTTTTTTCATGATTGATTTCTTTTATATTTAAATGTCATTTTGTAATGTGTTTCTGCCGCAATAATCTTAATGCTCTCACTGTTTTTCATTTTTTGTGAAGCACACATATTGCCACGTTGAAATAAGCTATATAAATAAATGTGCCGTGCCTTGAACAGTTTCATCTATTGTAGCTACACCAAAACACATAACCTGGTCCACTGCGAGCGCCAGTTATTGTTTTTTAACACTTCTATTGAAACAGTCTAATATTTAATCAAGGGTGTGTCAATATGTAATTTGTAATTATGAATGACATTCAAGTGTACGTGTAGACCGTCTAATCAGGATACCGCCTAGACTCTAGATGAGGTATATAAAGAACCCTAACCCTTCCAAGACTATCACGAATCACCTGCTGCAGCTGCAAGTACTACTTCATCTGATCATCACAGCAAGGTAAGGGTTTAGTTCTTTAGTTTGTTTTAAAAATAAGAACTGTAAACATTAGACTATACACTATACTTGTAAACAATATGTCATGGATACAAATTGAATGCAAATGTATGAAGTTGTGTCCACTGCAGGGTAAACTTTACTCCAGGTACTTTAGTAATTGAAACCTTTTAAATTGAACATTTCATATCTTTACATAGATGGCATCTGTTGTCTACTGCATCGTGCTCCTCTGTTTGACCAGTGGACTGTGGATGGAGGCAGATGTAAGTAATATGTGTTATGTGTAGCTAAGCAGAATAGTGAAGTCATTCATTACAAATAAAATAACATTGTTATTAATAGAATTTCTCTATAAATGTCTAATAGAAATATAAACACTAAACATGAATAATGGGGATGGAGACTCAAGTTTGTTAAGAATGTGTACAGCCCACTGTAGATCAATATCACAGAGAAATGAAAGTTTAGACACAGTTACTTTAGGGAATATAAGTGAATAAATAATTAGTAAAACTATTTCCAAAGCAAAGCTTCTAGCGTTATCTAAACTATGAATCCTAACCTGCTCATTCCTAATAATGTGTTCTTTACATCCACAGGCAAAAGCTAAGGAAAAGGGTTGGTGGTTCATTTGATTATGGAGTCAAAATACAGCATCCAACACTTTCTGACTGCAGCCAAATGAAGATGGCATCCTATTGGACAGCATCTGTGTACTGAATGCATTGCTTCTGTTGCTCTCTCAATTAATTAAGTATTTCTTATTAAGTCTTTCTTATATGACAATTGTAGATTGCAGTGAGTGCCTCCCTGGTTGGACTCAGCTTGGCTCTCGCTGTTTCATCTTCAAGAATCAGCCAATGAACTGGGCTAGTGCTGAGGTACTGAAATGACAACAATAGAGCGGTGCAGGGATGACGTATTTACCCGGAAGTAAGCTGCGCATGGCTTCCCTCGACAACAAAGCAAAAATCACCAGTGGGGTCACTGCTGATGTATTTAATGTCGTAGAACAAAACTCTTCAATTTGTGTCAACTACAGACTTTATTTCGAGCCATTTTCCAAAATCCAATGGAGAAATCCCATTGGCTCTGAGGGAACAGGAAGTGGTAAAATGCTGACTCTCTTCCGGGTTTTAGGACTCGTCACTGCACCACGCTATAGTGCAGTAACTGGAACACTTAATGTTTGGCATATTCTCTAAAACAGATTCTGAAACAACATTGTTTGTCTGTCCGTACTTGGACTTTGTTTCCCCACCATAGACAGATTGCCTCGCCCTTGGAGGGAATCTGGCTTCTATCAAATCGACCACCGAATACGACTTCATCAGACAGTTGGTTAGAACAGCAACAGGCAAAGATCTACAGTTTTGGGTTGGAGGCCATGATGCTGTCATGGTGAGTGATTTATGTATTACTTTTTAGAAGTTGCAGCTGCATCAAGAGGCAGCGTGACTATGGTGGAGAGTGTGAATTCCTGTAAATGCTGTAAACACTGTAAAGTCCCCTGAGACAAGCCTAATTTCTGATATTGGGCAATGTTAATACATTCAGATTCAATGCTTGATTGTCAACGCACGCGTCAAAGGTGCACTTCGGTGCTTAAAAACATGCAGTAGCTCTACACCCTTGGGCAAAATGTCCTTAAAAGGAAGTCAGAGTATGAAATACGACAATGAACTGGTGGTCTCCTGTGTGCTCAACCTCCTCTGCACACTGGTGCTAACTCGTGCGCATGATCATCTGTTTAGGGACTCCATAGGACTGCAAAGACATACAAAAAGTTAATTTACTTCAATCTCTACTTGTTAATACAACTAAATAAACAATGGATTAAATGGCTTTGTGAACATTTTACAAACACACTGAGAATGTTCACTTGCCTGTAAACTCCATTAAAAGCAATTATTTTACAACAAAAAACTCAGATTAACAACTTTAAACTACCTTTTAATCTCACAACACCAGAGGCCTGTACTGCAAAGCCAGTTCAACAAACCCTCAATATCTTTCAGTTATCTGGCTTAACTAACCCTGACGATATAATCTCGCTGAGCGAGTCAACCCAGGGTTTCTCATGCTATGAGCTCGTTCACATGAAAGGGCCAGCAACATTTTACCAATCGCAGGGACAAGTGTACTGACAGCAGAGCGTCATACTTCAATGAACATTAAACTATTATGTTAGACAACTATGAAAAGGTTCAACTTTATACATGCATGAGTTTAACCCAAAATGGAGGATAAAGAAACAGGTGCAATGTGCTGGCAGAACAGCAACAAAAGAAATGCTGTGTGAATGCTTAAATTAAAACGTTTAGGTTTCGTCAACCTAATGTGTTGTTTAATTCCAGTTTTGTCAAATACAATAGAACATGTTATTCATCCTCAAAAACAAATATAATAACATAATTCATAAGCAGGTAAGCAGGCTTATTTTCATATCTTAAAGACAGTGGTGGTTTATTATTAAACGCTCATCTAGGAATAATTTAATGTGCAGAGTTTATTTGTTCCGTGTTTCTCATGTTCTTCTGTCCAGCACCTGGATGAGTGTGCTTTTGTATCTTAAAATCTCTCACTGCAAACATAGAAGTATGTTACCTGTATCAAAATAACACTTCTGCAGACAGTATGCTGCACTGTCAGTGAGCGTCTCTGGTGTGTTGCACGGCAACAGACGGCTCAAGAAGCTGACACAGACAATTGAATATATGATATTGACCAGATATGAATAATAGTCGCAACACATCTGGGTCGTGTTGTGGACTGTACGCATTCCTCTGAATTACTTGCTACGGTTACTTATGTTGTGGGGAATTATAAGACATTTAAATAAAAATGTTCTTAACGAAATGTAATCAGCGCTTTTATGTATAGATTGGCAGTGATATTCTATTAATTTACATGTGTTGGAGATTTATTGCTGGCCTTCTTCCCTGCATCCGGCAGTCCAAACTGTATTTCCTTTATCCTGTAATATGACTTCTAGCCTTGAACTCCCCACACTGAGCTCTGATTGGTCAGCAGGCGGTGCTTTCACTGAGTTGATCTCTTATCTTGAACATAACCTGCTCCGGAGGTGTTCAGCACAAGTTACCATGGAGATCTACCCCGGTAAGAAGAGAACCAGTGTTGTAGGACCGAAAACCCAGAGTTAACCCCAAATCATGGTTCGTAGTACAAGCCACAGGCAGACTGCAGATAAGAAAGAGGGGGTATGTGGGGCATACCATTACCATTTTATTGTAGCTAGTCGTTTGATTAAAGTCTCTCTTAACATTGTTTTCTTACCATGCACTGGCACTGACCAGATGGGAAAAAACGATCTCAGGCTACATACAGGCTATCTTTTCCTTTTGTTTATGAACCCTGAGAGGAAGACATCAGTCAGAAAAGGACTTTTAATGTTTTTCTGTCAGGAGGGAGTGTGGCTGTGGAGCGATGGCTTTAAGTTCAACTTCGAAAGCTGGGGCAAGGGGGAGCCAAACAACTATGGAGGAAAGGAACACTGCATGGAGATTAACTTTGGAGGTAAAAAATAAACAATTATATGTTATTTATGCTTACAATCTTTTAAAGAGAATTTTAAAAATATTTTAATTATTCCTTTTTAAGTTGTTACTAAAAAACATGACATACAAATACATTATTACTTTTCATTTCAGTGTCTTTTCATTTATTCATCAGATAACTAATCTGTGTTGTTTGTGATGATCTTTCACCTACAGCTACCAAAAAGGTCAACGACATAGGTTGTCTGGAAAGTCAACCCTTTGTTTGTTCCGCCGACCCACCCCCCATGGAATGATGATCAGGTCAGGATGTCACTTCTACCAGGATGTCAGGCCTCGATGAAATCAGTGTTTTGAAGATGTTTCAACACTTCTGATTCACTTTCATATTTAATCAATGAACTGATTCACCCTGCTAAGCAATATTCCAGTTGAACACCAGTATGTCTTGAACATGTAAAGCTGACCTGCAGTCCAATCAATTAAAGCATAACTAAAAGCACAATGCTTCTTTATTTCCACCTCTTCTAAATGTTTCATCAGCCGGTGACGGTAAACAAAGCAAATAGGAAATAAGTAGTATTACCAATGCCCCTTCAATCACATTAGTATGCACAAAAAGTGACAGGTCACACCTGCCCTATCAGTACTACTACTTATGCTAAGTCCCGCCCCCTAATTATGTTAATGAGCCCCTTTGTTCGAGGTGTTATCACATGTAGGTGTGATATTCCCCCATTGTAGTAGATCCTTTGTTGTGTAATCTAATTAGCCTTTGATGTCTGATCCCTTTGTTGTCTATCCTTTGATGTGAGGGGTGAGGTGTTTGTGACATGTAGGTGTGATATCCCCTGTTGTAGTAGATCCTGTGTTGTATAATCTAATTAGCCTTTGATGTCTGCCCCCTTTGTTGTCTAATCTAATTACCCTTGATGTCTATCCTTTGATGTGAGGGGTGAGGTGTTTGTAACATGTAGGTGTGAACTCCCCATTGTAGTAGATCCTTTGTTGTCTAATCTAATTAGACCCTTTGATGTCTGTCCTTTGATGTAAGGTGGGAGGTGTTATAACATGTAGGTGTGTGTGTGTACCGGTGTGTTATAAGCCTTTGATGTCAATCTAATTAGCCCTTTGATGTATGTCCTTTGATCAGTGTTTGTAATTAGTGTTAAGGTAGTCTCTTTGAAGTTGTGTGAGACTGTCTCGCACCCCGTCCTCCTCTCACCTCTACCCCCTCTCACCCCTTCCCCCTTCCTTTTGCTGTGATGTCAGAAGATAGAGGTGGAGGGTGGAGTTAGATGAAAAATAAATCCGTGCAAACTAGATAAAAAGCCACTCACCAAGTCACCTAAACTTTCAAAAACGAAAATGGCAAAGAGACGCATCGATATGGGTTTAATCAGCGAGACGCCTGTGACAACTTACCGCCATCCGTCGGGAGCGCCAGTCAAGAAACGGGTGCAGTATCTGTGCCGGGTTCAGACCCTCCGTCTGAGGCTCTTCATGAAAAATGGAGTCTGGATGTGTGAGACTGTCTCCCCTCACACCCCCTAACACCCCATCCCCTCCCCCCTGCCTGTCACCTCCTGATTTTCCTATCAGCCGTTAATTCTCATTCACTAAGTCACCTAAAACTTTTATTGTCCTCTCTAAATTAGATTAGTTTTTTAATATGATTTGTGTTAACTAAGGATGTTCTCTTAAGTTGTATGGCTTGTGAACTAATGTTTAATTACTTTATTAACTACAACAAAGTCTCTCTGAGAGGAAAATAATAATTTTAAATATGTTAATGACCCCCTGATATTGTATTTTGTAATGTTTAATTACTTCACACAACTATTAATGAATCCCTATATGAAGTTACATGAGGCTACATTTACTTGGGTTGAGCCCTGGATGATGAAAATAATCTAAGTGTCATGTTAGGGGGGCATTACGGAACTCAGGAGTCCGCCCTTTGAGGTGTTGTTAACATTAATGCTTTTGTTTTTGTTACTAAGATACTTTTTAGATACACTTTTGAAGTGAGCAACACTTTACAACTGGTAGAAAGTGAAGTACTTTGTATGGAATTGGGTTTTCTTTAGAGCTGTTTTCAGTGAGACAATGCAGTTTCTGATCATTTTAAGTTTTCAAGTTTCAAGGCTTTATGGCATATGCCCATTAGCTACAGTGTAGATATGTCAATGAAAAACATAGGTCACAGGCTCCTCCAACAGTGCACATAAAACAGATAAAATACTGCAATAGAATGTTTTGATATGACAGATTTGTGCGTAATTCTCTCACAAAGGAACTGTAAGATACACGTTTATGTATGGAAAACTTCATAACTTGGTAAAATATTCATTCATTTGTAACGAATTGAGTTTTCTTCAAGAATCAAACTCTAATGGAGAGTTTATGATTTTTAACACTGTTTCGATGAAACAATGCAGTTTTTGATAACTTGACTTGACTAACATTACTTTTTTTAAATATATGTTTTTAGATGCTTTACTTTTGATTTCTTTCATGTTATTTTAACACATTACTTTTTCATATTTTTCAACATACTGTGATATTTGTTTTTTTCTCTCCTTTTTCCATTATATTTTGAATATACAGACATTCAACGCAATAAGTCCCACCCCAATTAGCAAATCATCCAAAACTAAGGACCCCCCACTAAGACGAACAGATTTTCTTTAAGACTGTGACTCTTAAAGGCACTTTGGGATTTTAGTAAAACAATCCAGTTTTCTGGAAATAACTTAAATGATTTTCGTTTTTTCTCCTACAAAGATACTTATAGTTACACTTTAATGGATGCAAAACTTTATAACTTGGTAAAATATTCATTAATTTGTAATGAATTGAGATTCTTAAAGAATCAAACTCTAAATGGAGAGTTTGTGATTTTAACACTGTTTCGATGAAACAATACCGTTTTGATAACTTGACTTGACTAACATTACTTTTTTAAATATATGTTTTGTTAGATGACTTTACTGATTTTTTCTTTTTTTTTCTTCCTTGCTTTTGTTTGTGTTACTAGGATACTTTTAGATACACTTTGAAGTGTGCAACACTTTACAACTGATAGAATAGTACTTTGTAAGGAATTCGTTTTCTTGGTAGAATATAAAGTACTTTTGTAAGGAATTGGGTTTCTTAACAATCCTGCTCCACCATTAAATCACTTAATCTGCTACTTCCAGGCAAAAGCTTTTAAAACTTGCATCGTGTATTAAGTCATGTCTTGGCAAAAATGAGAGTCCTGGGTGCTTTAAAAACATTTCTTAGAACATTTTGATATATTCAAACACATAATGAACTGCAATGACTCACTGCTGCATCAAATTGATTTTACACTGTTGGGAGGACAAAACTGTGAGACTCTCAGACCCTTTTGTTGTCAATCTAATTAGCCTGTCCTCATTTTAACTAAAGTAATTTAACCTAACTGGAGCCAACCTAAGGAGTGGGCCCTACAGTCTGGGACTAGCTTACTTTTGAACATTCTACTCAAAGGGCCCGTAAATATTATCTCCGCCAATATGCTATATTAAAATATCATTTAAAAAATTAAATTAAACTCATTTCATGTTGAAATGATCAAGGAAAAGCCTGTCAATGTTATGTTAACACAAACAAAAGTTCTGTTTTATATGTTGAAATATAATTTAAAAAACAACGATATAGTATTTTCAAGTCTTACTTTACTATGGTAAAATTAAGAATAAGTCACATTAAAGTTTGTCATGATTTTCCGTAAAAAAGTCAAGTATAGTTTGTCAAAAGAATATGAAAAAATCATTTTGTAGAGGAGCATGTTGAAAATCTCAGTGTTTAACTGAACACATCTACATGTGATAACACCTCGAACAAAGGGGTAATTAGCATACAAAGGGGGGTCACTAGCATCAGTGGGGGAAAGATGCTACGGAAATGAACTTTGAGGAGAGGGAACTTTTAAGAATTTCCAAGGCGAGAGGGTCTTTGATAAAAAAATAAATAAAATATGAACAGAGTTATACCGACTAATTATTTACGGCGTCCGAACGCATACCTCGTCAACCATCTGTTTACAAACTCAAAGATTATGATGGAGAAGAGATCAAGGGGACTTTTTTATGAGAAAGAGTTAAAAAAGTGAAGGTAGTACTTTTTTTCTGAACAGATTTTCTTTAAGACTGTGACTCTTAAAGGCATTTTCTAGTAAGACAATCCAGTTTTCTGGAAATAACTTGATTGATTTTTGTTTTTTCTCCTACAAAGATACTTATAGTTACACTTTAATTGATGCAAAACTTTATAACCTGGTAAAATATTCATTAATTTATAATGAAATTAGTTTCTTAAAGAATCAAACTCTAAATGGAGAATTTGTGATTTTAACACTGTTTCGATGAAACAATGCGGTTTTGATAACTTGACTTGACTAACATAACTTTTTTTTTTTTTAAATATATGTTTTTAGATGCTTTACTTTGATTTCTTTCATGTTATTTTAACACAACATTACTTTTTTCATATTTTTCAACATACTGTGATATTTTGTTTTTTTCTCTCCTTTTTTCCATTATATTTTTGAAAAACTACACAGTGATTTTTATCAAAATACACCATGCAACTAATACATTATACAATATTACGACTTTTTGCGATATTTTCAACACAATATACTTATACCTTTTTCTGTAGGGCTTCAGGATATTTGGCATGTCATGCATAAAAACCGGTGTCATCTTTCCTGAAACTGACGTGCTGTCCGTTTTACAAACAAGTTATCTTTCTGCTTCTTCACCCTCTGAATTTTCCTCCCCCGTCCCTATTCCTTCAGCCATCACAACAACAATCAAGTCAGATCTGTGAAATTAAACACCTCTCCCCAAAGCGTGACTTCCCTATTGAGGGAGTGGGGCAGTAGGGCCTAACCCGATTGGCCTAATATACTAACATGCAGAACGTATGGTATGTTTGAAAAAAGACTAACCATCTATCCAGTTCAAGCTGTCTTTAAGATGCGACATCGCGCTCTGACTTTTTCCGTAAAATCGTGACAAACTATTACTTATTCTTACATTTGACCTCTTGCTGCTTGGTTGAAAATGATAGATGAAAAAGCTACAACGCTTAAAGAACTTTCTAAAAACTCTCAATTCTACAGATGAATCCCCACACTCAACGCAACAAGTCCGCCCCCCACTCAGCAAATCATCTAAAACGAAGGACCCCACTAAGACGACCGTTGAAAACTAGCCAGGGATCTGAGAAAAACCAAGTCTCCCCCGCGAGTTGCAGCCAGGAACAAACTCCTGTCTCCTATCATCACCACCATTGTGGACACCCACATATTGCAGTACTACTGCTGCTGATGTTACTCCTGGGGCCAAGACGTCTCTGTTTATGAACATAGTGAAATCGGAGTTGGTTGATATTCTGGAGAGGGTGCTGCATCGGTACAGAGAAAAAATCTGCAATGGATGCCGAGTCAGTCACCCCGGCCAGAGGCAACAC